TATTTGTTGTGTTTACGACTACTAATGTTCAACTCCGTAGCCTTGTCATTTTGAACCCAATCCAGATGACAAGGGAACTCCTGGATCAAGTATTGGGAGAAATTTGACTTCATGGATTACTTTTTGATGGAACTAACCCGTATTTGCGTTACATGGAAAGGAAAACCAACCACATTTTTTTTAAAACTTCTAGTGAATGACAATTGATGTTAATACAGTTTTTTAACATATTAATTAATTTCAATTTCATATGTGAGAAAAAAATTTTAATTATTGAATAAAAAGTAACTAAAATTTTTTTTTTCTTTGTAAACATAAGTAGGAATTAACTTTATTTTATTTCAGATAACTTGTTTTAATTTCAGATTCAAAGCAAAGTATCGCTTTTTAATTTATTTCTAAAGAAAGTAATCACGTTGCAACTGGATAGGTCCCCAGTTCACCCCTGTAAATTACGATTAGTGATTGGAGTACAGAAAGAGCCCCGAAGGACGAAGTTACGACACTGCATAGGTTGTGTTCGTAATTTATCTTTTAAATTTTACATTAAATGCACATCACAGGGATGAGAGTAGTTGGAAAGTAAAAAAGAGGAAATTCAAGAACGAATATATATATATCCTCCAACTTATGAGGATTTTGAAAATAATTCTTTCTAGTGGTAGCGAACCAAAGTAGAAATTTTTAAAGCAAATGGATCTCTCATAAAACTTTTATCAGAACTTAAGAATCTAGCCATATGGCCTGCACTTTTATAAGTAATAGTGGACAAGTTACGCTAAAATTAAGTTTTTTTTTAAATATTAAGACATTAATTTTGCTACCGTCTGAAAAGAAGATTTCTGAAACCACGGAAATTCCGTAGCAGTTGGAGGGTATGTATATATATATATACAAAAATTTGACAAAAAAGTGCAATTTTTAAACTTGTAAACCTTCTGATTATAAATCCCGATCATTAATTTTGAAATTGTATGAATATATAAATCACATGCATGATTCTAAATTAAGAGAATATGAATCACGAAATGAGGCTTTTAAATCACGTGAATATGAAACTCTATATCGAATTTAAAAAATGCGAAAATACAAATCATGATGCGTAATTTTTGGATCACGTAAATACGAATCACGATGCGTAATTTTTAAATAGCGCGAATACGAATCCCACTGTCTAATTTGTAAAGCACGTATAAATAGGAAAATCGATGTTTGATATTACAACAGCAAAAACGAATCACATTGGATTTGAAGCTCGCGTGAATACGAATCGCTACATAGGGTTTATAAACCGCGTAATTACAAATCGCGATATTGGATTTTTAAATCCCGTAAATAAGAATCGCAATGTACGACATTTGAATCACCTGATTAAGAATCGCAACGTTCAACTTTTAAATCAGGTAAATACGAAAATCAATGTTTGAGGGAGGAATGAGGTCTTCAATGCTTTCGCTTCGCGAAAAATTAAATTCCTCATAAAATATTTTAACTTGTGCAAAAAAAAAAAAAAAAAAAAATTTCAGCGGAAATTAGCGGAAAAAATGGAAAAAAAAAGCGGAAATCCGCGGAAGAATCACATCCCTGACATCAAAATCTTTACTCGCGATTTATCCCACATAAGATTATTGCTTATGAAATCAATCCGCACTCATCATAAATTATAAAAAACATTCACACACATTTAACAAATTTTTTTATTTTGCACTTAGTTTTAGAATATAGGGTTACATTTTTAATATACTATTTCATTTAGTTTAGTTCACCCTTTTTTTATTATTAACTTGGGACACAAATTAACTTAATTTATTAACTTGGGGTGCCTAGTGCTGCCATCTGTAGACTGTTATGGAAAACTAACCTTAGAAGTTAAAAAGGATATTACATGACCAACTGCAGTGGAAAATGAACAAGATAATCCAAATAACTGATTTGAAATGCGCGTGAAAAATGTTTTAAATATATTTTTTAAAATTATGAATAAGATATTCTAGTTAGTAGCATACGCAGGAATTTCTCAAGGAGGGTTTCAAGCAACTAGCGATATATATGTGTGCGTAAAATACACGTCGTTGAACAGCTGACCCAATTGTTTGGCGTTACAACTACTGTGTTTCACTTCGTAACCTTGCAATTTTGAACCCAATCTAGAAGATAAGGGAACTCCTGGATCAAGCATTGGGTGAAATTTTGTCTTAGCGAAGGTCTTTTTGAGGGAACTAACCCGCACTTGCGTTACAGGGAAAGGAAAACCACGAAAATCTCCCACGGTTATCCTGATGGCAAGGGGACTCTAACCCATGATATGTCTACTTTACCTCATTGGAAGGCGAAAGCGCTATCCCCTTAGCCACAACGGCTCTTATATGGATGACAAGTTTCCGACAGCCAGAAGCTAAATTTGTCCACCAAAGGAAATTTATCATTCATCGAAATTCCTACCGCTAGCTAGAGTTCTTAAATCTTAATTGCAGTTTTGTGCCTCTCAAAAATACAAGTTTCAAACCAAATCTATACTTTTATAGTTATCTGAAACCACATCTTTTTTTTCTTCTTTTTAAATCCTACTATTTATTTCACACTCTCCCTATATATCTTGTTCAAATTTTCAATTGTTCATAAAATACTTTTTATTCATACACTCAAGTTCAAATACAATTTTTTTAAACTTGTAGTGGAATGACACTTGATGTTAATACAGTTTTTTCAAACATTAATTCATAAGTTAAATTTAATGAATTAATTCTAGTTTTATATCAGGAAAAAAAAATTAATTATTTAATAAAAAGTAACTGAAATAAAAATTTTCTTTGTTGACGTAAGTAGGAATTGACTTAAATTTTTTTAAAAAATATATTACTTGTTTTGTTTATTATGTTAATTGCTGTCGCATATTTTGCACGGACCTTTTCTGTACGCTGTACATAAATGTAATTTCAGTTTTGCTCTACGGATCATATGAAATGAGATAGACTATATGAAATTTTTTTTTTTAATTATCATTCAGTCAAATTTAAATATTCCAAAGTAATATGATGATATTAGTTTTAAAGTATTAGTTTTTGCTGTGCTGCATATTTAACATTCGTGAAATGAAGACATCAAATTTAAAATGAATAATTTTCATTTAAACATGCTAAAAAATAATCCTAAAAAACTATACAATATTAAAACATCTATCGATAGAATTACCTTGAAAACAAATAATTTCATTTCAAAGAACATTACTTTTTATTGATTGAAAAAAACAACAACATTTTTTTAAAAGATTCATTAACACTAAAGTAGTTTAAATGAGTACATATTCCCATCCCTTGGGTGCAAAAATTATTTTACAACTCTTTGTTGAATTAAATGTTTGCAATATTTGCTCTAAAAGTCATATTAATGCATGAATGCTATAAATATGAAGAAAAAAAAAGAGTTAAAAATAACATATTAAAATAGTATAAAAATTAATATAATAAAATAAAAATTTAATCTGCGAAATGAATCACCTCTATGTGCAAAATACAATGATAATACGATTCAAAAACTGATACATCAAATTAAGGTAGACATTTAATTTTATAACCGCTGTTGGACAGCTGATTTAATTTTTGGGTTTACGACTACTAATGTTCAACTCCATAGCCTTGTCATTTTGAGCCCAGTCCCGAAGACAAGGGAACTCCTGGATCGAGTCTTGGGAGAAATTTGCTTTTGTTGAGAACTTTTTGATTAAACCTACTTGTGTTTGAGTTACATGGAGAGGAAAATCACGAAAACCTCTCGCGCTAAGTCAGGGGGACTCTAACCAGAGATCCGGCTAGAATTGAGGATATTTTACGGCAACACCGTGGTCGGTACAAAGCTGAATTCGGAATTCATATCGACCAGCCATAGCTGGGATTCGAACCGGGTTCACCTCATTGGAAGGCAAATGCTCGATCCCCTGAGCCAATGTTTCCCAAAGTGTGGTATGCGTACCTCCAGGGGTACGCTTTCTTATGCAAAATATCTTGCAATGAATGAAAAGTTCAATTTTTTTTTCATTTAAATTTACGATTAAAATTACCATGAAAATTTACGATTAGCTATTTTTTTTATTGGCTATTTTTTGCAGAGTTAAGAGTTAATAATTAGTGGTGTCAACAGCCAGTTGCGATTTTTAACTTTTGTGCAATTTTTTTATAGCAAAAATACATTCATTTTTTTTATTAGTGGTACACAGAGTTACAAAAAATTTAGAAAGGGTACACAAAAGTCATAAGTTTGGGAAACACTGCCCTGAGCCATCACGGCTCAACTCAAACTATTAGCACTCAACATACTGCAATACTGGAGATAGCACCATCTGTTGAGGAATAAGAGAAGTATTTTTGCTATCAGTGGATATTTTATCACCTAAAATTTCTTTACTAAATACATAGAAATTTGAGATAGTCGCAAAATACAGGAGTCTTTGTTAAAAAACAGGAGACTTGGCATGTATTCATAAATAGCTCTTAACTATTACAGATGGAAGTAATGTACAAATAATTTTGGTTATCAGTACTACTGGTATCGTGCATCGTGGTAATAATTGCTATTTTAATAAATACCAAAAATACAAATATAGATATTTAGGTACTTTATTTATGTCGCACTGGAGCTGCACAACAGGCTATCGGAGATGGCCTAGGGAACACCCCCAGGGATGATCTAAAGACATACCATAACAACTTTGATTATCTGTAAGATTTCATTAGTCATTCGTGAGGGCACTTCCTCAATTTAGGATATTTAATATGGGAATTTACAAAATATGTTTTCCAAAAGGGATTAATTATTTGATTGAGGTCAATTTTGACTATCATAAGGATTAGCATTAGGAGTAGATTTTTCTACTTCTGACAGCAACCTAAAAAAATTTCCTGAAAAAAAAAATATATATGCATGCAAACTTTATATCACTGCAGGTTTAGAAATCTCAATCAGGGTTCTCACTCAATTTCAGAGAGAAAAAAAACTTTTCCAGGTCAAATTATTATTATAATTTAATAAATAATAAAAGCATTATACTAAATGAGGAAACAAAAAACTGCAGTTCACCAAACAATGCGGCAGTAACAAAGTTTATGAAAATGGTGATCTTAAATTTTTGTTCTATCAGAACTATTTTTTATTCACAGAATAAATTTTCCTTTTTTCTAAAATACCATCTTTCATTCATCTGCTTTTCTGTTCCTGAAATGAAAAATAGAAAAAATATTCAGATTACATGATTTTTTTTTTTAAAAAAAGATAATAATAATCACAACAGTACATAGTTTATAGTTCTATTTTCTAAAGGTAAATTTAAAAAAAAAAAAAAAAATTCACGATGAGTAGCATTTTTATAATGTATAGAAGGTAAGGTTAAAAAAAACCACCCAGGAAAACTTTTGAACTAATGAAAACAAATTAAAAGGGAATTGCAATGAGTTGGAGGGCTACTTTAAATGTGCTTTATGTTACGAAATCAGTAAAAATAAACTTATCTGGAATTATTTTAATGAATACGCAAAGAAAAATTGCATTGTTTATTCGACCAATAACTTAATTTTTTAGTCATTTTTTTTTTAAATGTTTAACCAAAAGTAAAATTTAATGAAACACTGCTTTAACTCACGGTAAAATGTTTTTAACTCTTTTTAAATAAATTTAAGTTATCACATTTATTAAGCACACATAAAAGTGAAAAAATGTGATATACACTTTTTATTTTTCTAGCTCCAGTGTGATTTATTTTCTAGCCAGATTATTTATATAAAATGGCTCTTTCTTTATTGATTAACTTATTTTCTAAAACATTTATAAGCAACTGTGCTGCTAAATAAAAATTATAAATTTAGAATTATTTATTATAAATAATACTATTACTGGATAAGATTGGTTATACAGTCAAACCCCACAATAGTGAACCTTCAAAGGACCAAAATTTTGGTTCACTATAACCGGGACTTCACCATATCTGTTCCGCAAACAAATTGAAATAAAAATATATGTAGCACCAAAAATGCGTTAACTTTTTTTAATTTTTTATTATTACTTTTCGTCCTGAGTACAAAAAAAAAATAGTTAGTAATCTTTAGCTGATGAGCAATCCTCAACATCAGATACGATAATTTTTCCTCTATTTATGTTATTTCATTTTTTAAATTTAGCCACCTGAGCACATAAAAGTAGTCTCAATAAATCGCTTAGCAAATTCACTGGCTTTGTCTTCAAACATTTGTCCAAACATTGGAAGATTGCGGCTTCTTAGTATGCTGAACAATTCAATAATGAAGTAAACAAGAAAAAATGCTTATTGCAACATTCCCTGCTATTGATGGTTTAAAAAATCGGTATATACTATATATTTGGAAGTAGAAGTTACAAAATTATTAGGAATATATATTATAAATGAAGAAAATAAATCTGTCGAAGACATACAAAAGTTCATAAAATCCAACTTCCTCTTCTCTTTTGGTTCACTATATCCAGAAAAAATAACATACCTGGGTGCCAAGGCACGGGCGCGAACATATCATTCGCTATAGCAGGGTTTGACTGTGTAAAACAGTTTTGATGCCTGAGAAGTGAGTGAAACACACTGTCTGTGTCTGATCATTATGTTGCTACTCCTCCAAAAATTTCCAGATTTGATTGCGGAGAGAGGTTTTACCTAATATTTTTTTTCTCCAGATTTTTCTGGCATTTATTCTGTCAGTGCAAATTTTAAAATATATTCTTATAAAATATTTAAATTGTTCTTTACAGTTTAACTTGCTTATTGTGAGACCTTATTAAACAAAATTCCAAATCTAATAACGAAATATTTTATTTTAGATTATAGCCGGCCTCGAACAGTTGACCCAATTTTGGGTTTACAACTACTAATGTACAACTCTGTAGCCTTGTCATTTTGAACCAATCCAGAAGACAAGGAAACTCCTGGATCAGTACCCCAAGAGGTATGATTTGTTATGGGAACATGGAGGACTTTGTGACTCAACAGATTTAAGCGGTATCAGTCACCATTTACTAAACGAGGAGTCTTCAGCCGGCGGGATCGAACCCCCGACCTCTTGGACATGGACCCGTGCCCTGCCAACCAGGCCTCTCTTCTTGCAATGAAAGAAAAGAATTGGAGATCAAAGATAAATTTGAAGTCATTATGGAGAAATCTTCAGAGGAAGGCATTGGCCCATATCGGGCTGTCTGGCCAACTATGATGATGTGTGTCCCAAGTGCACAAGTGGAGAACCACTGGAGCCATTACATAAAGTCTAGTAGTAACACTATGTTGCCTGTTTTGACATATTGCGAAAGACATAGTTAATTTTTGGCTTACCTCTCTAGATACTCGTATGCCTATAAATAAGCAACATTTTTAAAATTTTGAATTAGTTTTGAGATATCAAATTTGAAAATTTCGTTTTCATCCTTTTTCATTGAAATTCATACATACAATTGCAACAAGTAAATAAAAAGTAATTTTCTGTTATTTTTTTATAGCAGATTTTTTGAAAAATTTGCCCTAAAATCCCGTCACGAAGTGACACTATACTAAGACTTTTGCAATTGGGAAATATTGGGATCTAAATTGGGATCTCTTAATGTTAATTTTATTTTTTGCGTACTTCGCCTTTTAAGTGAATTGAAAAATCTTAGCACATAATTATAAAATTTGCTTATCCGAAGATAATTCCATACAAAAAATAAAAAATTTAGTAAATATTTACTATTTTTTATAATTTTATTTAATAACAGACGTAAAATCCTTTGAATTGTAAGGTACATAAATTTTAACATAAGTTTAAAGTATCTATTTTTACATGGTAAAATACAAAATTTGAGAGAAATTAGTTAACGGTTCCTGAGAAATCTAATTTGAAAAATAAGAGTTTTTAAAATTCGATTTCTCAGGAATTATTCAACCGATTTCGCTTTGATTTTGTATATTGCCATGTAAAATTACCTAATTTAAAATAATGTAAAAAATTGTATACCTTATATTTCAATTTTTCTTAGACTATTACTAAATATAATAAAAAATATTTACTAGAATTTACTTTTTGCATGCATTTATCTTTGGATAAACGAATTTTATAATTGTGCAGAAAGATTAATTCACTTAAAAAGCTCTCAAGATAATGGAGAAATTTAAAAAAAAAATTAACATTAGGGGGTCCTAACTTTGGCTTGCTCTTCTGACCAAGGTACGGGAACCATATTTCCCAGATTGCGGTTACCTCCTATATTTTAGGGACCAAAAAACCAAATCTGTTGAAAAAAAGATATGTAAATTCAGAGAAAGTATGTTTTTATGTATGATTTCGTAACTTAAAATATTGTCTGCACCAATTAATTAGCATATTTGAGGTCACCCTTTCGAACCAGTAAGATAGAGTCCTAGAACCTAAAGATCCAAACATTAGGATCAAAAGTTATTCAGGGGGGCATTTTTCTCTTTATTTTTGCGCATAGTACATCAATTTCCCTTCAATACAGCCTTTTTGAATTCGGTCCATCACGGCAATCCTTCCCCCATGGTTTGTTACTCTGTTCCTGGGTATTAAGTGAGCAACTCTGGCTCTATTTCCTGATATTGGACTACTGTATCTTATGCAATACATAATATCTGGTAATTGTAGTGTGCCTACCACAACAAAAATAAAATTTCAAATCACTAGTATATAAGATATGCTAACTCGATTCTACTTTGGGGGTACCATTTCATAGTCAATACATTGGTGACTTGGACGTGATGTGAACACGCCTACCTAGACCGAAGTTCCCATTTGTACACGCCTACTTCGATAGATGGTTAACATTGAACAGTTGACTTGCTACTTGTGACTGCGACATTGTCCACCTCCTCGAACTGTTGTTACTCAGTCTCGATCACACAACGCAGGAGGGAACAAGGCCTAAATACAGCTGTCACGGCTTCTAAAAAAAAACAGCACCGAATCAACTATTGGAATCCATTCATTGAATATCTATCACAGATAAAATTCTGGTGGTAGAGTACTGTAGTGTACCTTCCACTACAAAAATATAATTCCAAATCACTATTATATAAGACATGTTAACTCGATTCTATGTCGGGATACCTTTTCATAGATGAAGATTGACATTGTCTATAACAACTCTCCCCACAGTAATTACGCTTTTTTTTTTTAAGACAGGTTTTAGAAAATCTTCTCAGCAATATTCACAGTATTGAAAAATATTCACAGTAAAAAATTTTTTTTCTCCGACCTGTGCAAAACCCTTCTGTGAATACCAAACTCATAACAATACTATTTTGTAGAAATTTCATATCAGCAAGCCTTAACACAAAATTTATAATTATATTTTAAAGACATAGCTCCATATTTAATTAATAACTGAAAATAAATGTAATTAAAAACAATCTCTCTCTGGAATAGGTCTCTTCAAGTTTTGTCCTACGTGGATGACAATGATATAATTGAAAGGTCAGAAAGGGATGTCAAAGAGGCTTTTCAAGTTATCGAAGCTGCTACCACAAATATGGCCCTTTCTATTAATGAGGAAAAGACAATATTCACGAAATTTTTGTCCTCAACCGTATATTACAGTGCCCTTTATGTATTCATGGTTATATTTTAGTAAGGGTTAACGAATTCAAATACCTCCACTGTTGTTAATGATCAAAACATAGTTAGAGAAGAAATCAACAATAGAGTCCAAATGGCTAGTAAGTGTTTCTTTGGGTTGAGGAGACAGCTAAGATCGAATCTTCTCAGTCGGAAAACAAAGTTAAAACTCTGTAAAACATTCATACTTCCTGTGCTGCTTTAAGGAAGAGAAAATTGAACCCTAAATACAGATATACAGCTGACACCTTCAAAAGAAAGATCCTGTGGAGCAAATCAAGAAAGTGGATGCTGGTGAACAAGATATAACTTCGAGCAGTACCGACTCTATAAGAAGCCCCAAATTACACAAATAATCTGCAGTAATAAACTAAGGTAGCTTGGCCATCTACGGAGAAGCCCTCAATAGCGTCATGAGCATCGTCACCTTTAAGAATCCCGAAGGGGTCATGTCCCAGAGAGGCAGACCCCCTACGATGGCTCAACAAGATCGAAAATTACCTGAAAACCCTAAAGATTAGAATTTGGATAGGAGGCACTGGCATTTGTCAGCTGTTAAGGCAGCCAAGGCCTGCAAGGGGCTGTTGAGCTGACAAAGAAGAAGATTTAAAAACAATTGGTCACATGCTTTCCAGCTCAGGTTGCCAAATACAAGATAGTTTGAGTATAGTTTTAATGAGAACAATGCTAAGCTATTAAGAAAATGTCGAATGCTGTAATGAAATCTATACAGTAATAATCTGATATTAGGACAATTTAGAAAACAATTTGTTATTGGGTCGGATGTTATAACAGGTTGCATAGCAAAAACCTTTCAACAAAAAATAAGCACCCTTTAAGTACTTTTTAAGCACTAAAATATTTTTAATCATCATATACATTAACGAAACGCAAAATAATTTTTTAAAATTTTACATGATTATAATAAAATAATTAGTTTCTGACAGCAAACTTTTTTCTTGATTATATTAGCCAGCACAAAAAGATCGAAAGATTTTTCGGTTCGATTTCAGAGGTTGGAAAATGAAGTCAGAAATTGAGAATATCCTGAAAATGCAGCAGAGTTGGACATGAGAGTGCAAGAACCACAGCGAATCCAACTCAGTGTATGCACATTTGTATTATGTATATGCAGTGCTTCCTCAAACATGTAACATGATTAGCACTTTCATACCCTACGGATCTCATATGCTACACCTTAAAGCACTTTTTTAAAATTTTATGCACCATGTATAAGGAAGTGCACACATTTAACGGTAAAATAACAATAAAAATAGGAAAGACCTACACGTATTCCATTTTATTTCGAGAAGATCAGGCTACTTCTGCCTACACATTGTAGACTGCACTGGGAGTTTTTGCAAGAATAAATGATGCGCAACAGCTTTTGACGTCATTGATAACACTGAATATTAATTTTAACAGTAAACTTTAAAAAGGGAAGTAATATAATAGATAAGCAAAACGTTTTTTGTTCAGAAGTGTGCTGCTCCTCATTTTTTATAAAAAGCAGGATCATTTTTCTGTGAGGAGGAAGATGTCTAGTATGTATCTACACATTCTTTATGAACATATGAGGTTAAGATTATAAGAGGGAAATAAGGTGAAATGATGTTTATTTTAAATTTTTCAGTGATGTTAGCAAACTATATTTTCTCTTTTGGCTTTTTTCTTACAATATTACTCTTTTAAAACAAAGAAAAATACAGTCGGACTTCTATTTAACGAGATTCTATTTTGCGATTTTTTCGAGGAACCAAGTACATTTTCAAAATTTCTTTGTAAAATAACTTCCAAATAGCAAAGTGAATTTTCTATTTAACAAATTTTTTTCTTTGAGATCCACTTTCCTAGCTATTCCAAATTTGTCAACGCATTTTATGGGGCAATGACATTGAATTGATTAACCCAGCCACTTAATTTTTAGAGAAAAGGTAAAATCCCCTTTCCATTTCATATAGGAATCCATGCCAAAAATTCATTAACGAGAAAGCATAACAGAAATTTCTAAAGCATGCTGAGGGTGAGAATTGTTTTAATTATGCAGAACTATTATCAACTCTAAGTAAAAATAATTATAGATATTATTTGAGTCAATAGAATTATGCAATCTACTACATCTTCTGAAAACTTTTAAAAATTTATTAGCATCATCTTAAAAACGGAATGAATTATGAGACTTTAAATGGTGATGAACAAACATTTAAAATTAAATATTAGTAACAGTTTGATTTAACAAATACACAGTTTCAAGTCATCCTCAAAATGACCTTATGACTTTAGTCACCCTGAAATTAAGACACAAAAATTGTATATTTTTAACAAGTTAAAAATTACTAGGCTTTTTGCGAAAAATTGTTTTGGGGGGGGGGGATACATTTTATGCAGCTTAAGAGAGAAATATTATTCAAAAAAGTTTCAATGGAAGAGATGTTTATTTATTTCTGTTATCAATACAAAAAAGGGAAAAACAAACTTTGTTTTCTTCTTATAGTCCTCTCCCCCCCCTTATTTCTATAAAGACACTGATTATATTATATTCTGCCTAACAAAAAAGAAAGCATTTTTTCCAAATCCTGCCAAACATTTCAAATTAATGCACCCTTTTTTTTTTAACCACAAATCTATCATGCTCTCTTACTTCCCTTTTTGACAACTTACTATTAAAATCAACATTCACTATTATTTGTGACATTCACTATTATTTGTGACATTCACAGTTACCTATTATCTATGAGACTGTAACACTTTCTTTCATTTTCTTCTTGCAAAAACTTGTAATACTAACATTCTTTTCAAAAACATTTTTCCCTTTCATAATAATACTGTTTTTAGCAATAGTTATTGACTTTCAAAGCAAAGCACATAAATATGTTAAAAACACTAAAATCCTAAAAAAAGTCCCTCTAAAAAAACTAGTTAAATATACATAAAATGTAGTAAAAATAAACATAAATTGTGAAACTTACAGAACTTCTGTGTAATACTGTTCATGATGCCAGTATCGAAAATCTTCATAATCTGTCCCAGTTAACCATGCATTCAAGAGGATTAAACCACCAGCAACAGATCTACAGACATTGAGAATGAATTACTTTTTTTCATTAATTGTATATCAATTCTTTTAATTCATTTTATGTTAGACATTATAAGATATTTTTTTCTCTCATTTTATTAAAGTTAATTTTTAAAAAAAAGCTTTGTGTGCATAGTTTTAAAGATTGATAATTTTGAATACATTGATAGAGTCGGGTACAGTAAACACTTGAATTTGAGTTGTTAGTTTTTAAATTATGCTTTTAAAAAAATCACAACCAAAAGAATGTATTTATTAACTATTGCATAAAATATGTTTTGTAATTTAGTGAAAAAAATTCAGTTATTTTAAACTAATGGATTTCTCAAAGAAATCACATTTGATATAATCAAAGATTTTTTAAAAAAAATTTAATTATATCATAATTTTAATTATAGTTTAAATCATGATAACCCTAGCTGCTTTATATAGATTTCCATCTCTAACAACCACATAAAAATAAAACTATTGATCTTAACATGAAAGACTCAGATAGGACAACTGACTAAAATTTGATTGGTACAACATAACATTATGAAAGTTAATCAGTGAACGGATCCTTTAATTCACATTGATTTCATTTACCAGCACCTAACTTCAGTCTCAAACCAATCCATGGTTTAGCTTTATCTGATTAGCTTTTATACACTCTTTAAAGTATATGACACAAAATTTACAGAAAATATAAAAATCTGGGGTTAAAAAAAAGGAAAAATTTGAAAATAGCTAAAATAATAGTAAAGAAAAAAAACTCAGTACATGTGTTGAAATCTAATAAATGTCATGATATTTTAAACATTCTCTAAAGTATATGATATAAAATTTACAGAAAATATAAAATCAAGAGTGAAATTTGAAAATAACAGAAAGAATAGTACAGAGAGAAACTCAGAGCTAGTGCTGAAATCTGATAAATGACGTAAAATTTTATACATTCTTTAAAGTACATGATACAAAATTTACAGGAAATATTAAAATCAAGGGTAAAAAAAGATAAAATTTGAAAATAACAGAAGAATACTAAATAGAGAAACGTAACATTTTATACATTTTGTAAAGTATACATAGCTGCTAACATGGATAGGGAGAAAAATCCAGTAGATTTCACGAATTCGTATAAATTTCATGATAACTGTTGCATAATGTATTAAATATTTAACACACAGGGAATATTAGGGATTTTTATAGTCATCAAAATAGAAAGACAGCAATATTTTCCAGTTAAAATTTACATTAAACATTCTTGAAATGTTTTGTGTAATGTTTACTCATAATTTCATACATTAAAAGGCATTTAATTTATCAAAAATAGTCAGAAGATTTTTTTAATTAATTTAAAAAGAGAGTTTCTGAATAAAAATAAACTGAATATTCTTAGAACAAAAGAAAAAGTTTTGAACTGATTTCTATAAATGAGGTTTACTTCATTATGTATCAGAGTAATACTTATTGAAATATTCTAGCAATAATCTGTACACAAATTCTGTTTTAATAGGGACTTTTTTTTTAAAGAAAACTTACTCACTTTTAGGGAATTTTCGAAAAATGTATAAAAAACCATAAGAATTTTAATTAAACCAGTAGAAACTGAAAAAATCCAGTAGTCTTCTGGAAAATCCAGTGGAGTTGGCAGATACGAGTATATGATACAAAATTTACAGGAAATAAAAAAAATCAAGGGTAAAATAAAAAAGTAGAATTTGAAAATAGCAGAAAGAATAGAAAAAAGTGTATGCGTTGAAATCTGATAATTTAATTTAATAGGTATTTTCATCACTATAAAAGTACATTATAATTTTATAAATAAAAAGTACATTATAATAAATTGGTACATTATAATAAACACATTCATCTAATGCGCATGATAATTTTTTTTTAATGAGAACATGTTCAACACCCTAACAGACCTAAATTAATAAATAAAAGATTGCTCTATTATGTTTAATATTTAATATATCCATTATCTATCAATTAGGAAAGATTTTTCAGAATTTAATGAATATTGTTCAAGGTTTCCATTTAATAGGCAGGAATTAGTGGTTTTAATATCAAGAAAAGTAGCTTTTCAATGACCCAGTTACACAGCTGTCATGATTTTTTTTTTAAATATAATTTCATACCTGCCAACGGAGGTTTTACTAGCGACATTTTTTAAGTTACGCATTAAGTTTTGAAACATCATGCAAGTCAAAAAGAAAAATTAAAAGTTGGAAATAATATAAACACTTACATTTAGTGTGAAGTAAAAAATAAGTATATAAATCTTAATCTAAAAAAGATTTCTTTAAATCATTATTTATGATTACTTAAATTATTTCATAACTGTTGTTGAACAGCCAACTTAATTCTGGGCTTACGGCCACTAATGTTAAACTCCGTAGCACTGTAATTTTGAACATAATCCAGAAGACACGGGAACTCCTGGATCAATCAAGTATTGGGAGAAATTTACCTTTGTGGAGGACTTTTTGATGGAAACCGCATTTGTGATACATGGAGAGGAAAACCACAAAAACATCCCACAGTTAGCCTGATGGCAAGGGGTACTTTATTAACACTCAAGATACTGTAGTACTGGCACTATCTGTTGAGGAATAAGAGAAGTATTTTTGCCATAAGGGGATATTTTACCGCTGGAAATTTTTAAAATGTTTTCAAAATATACGGAGTAATTTGAGAATATACAAGTAAAAAGGAGATAGTCATAAAATACAGGAGGCTTTGTTAAAAAAACATTAGACTTGGCAGGTATGTAATTTATAAATAAATTTTTAAGAGTGTGAATTTTTCCTTAAGTTTGTAAGTTTGGAATTACAGATCCCTTAAAGGCTTTATCCAAGGAAATAATGAAAGGGTTCGTAAGTATAATAAGTAAAATATTTGACACCGCAAAGAATGCAAAAATTCTTACTAAAGATTTTAATTGCAGTTTAAATGCCATCCGTCTTACAAACGGAAGATACAGTGAGTCAGGTGAAGAGGCTCTTGAGAACTACTCGAAGCACACTTCCCTGGATCTCATCCTGTGGAGAATGAACATCTACATTAGTTTTCATACCAAAACCAGGTAAGGAAAATCATTTTGAGGCTAAATCTTTCAGATCAATCAGCCTCATTTCCTGTCTGTTGAAAGCTATCGAAAAGCTAATTGACAGATACTTCAGAGACACTATACTCATAGATAGGCCACTGTCCTCCACACAGCATGCTTATCAACCTGGCAAGTCAACGGACACCGCACTATACGAGCTCTCCTATCTGCTTGAGAAATCAATCACAGATCAGGAAATTGCTCTTACGGTATTCATTGATATTGAAGGTACATTTGATAAAGTTCCTCTTGAGACTATCATCAATGCACTTAGGAACAGAGGCATAAACTATACAATTACCAGATGGATAGCTAATTTGTTATCCTCTAGGTATGTTTGTTCTTCTTTATTGGGCGCAAGCATGAAAGTGCATGCAACCGCAGGGTGCCCCAAGGAAGGGGTTTTGTCCCCTATCCTATGGTGTATGGTAATGGACTCCTTGTTAGTTCGGTTAACTGATCCTGGCATTCTCTGTATCGAGTGCGCTGATGACGGTGTTATTGTTGTCAGAGGCAAGCATGGTAAAACAATCTCTGATATCATGAATAATGCACTTCTAGAAGTAGCTAGATGGTGCTCTGACTCAGGCCTATCTGTTAACCCATCCAAGATAAGCTATGCAGCCTTCACACGAAAAAGGCAACTTGACCTAGGTAATGTGTACTACCAGGACTATAAATTGGAACTCATGGAGAAAGACAAGTTTCTCGGGGTTTATTTTGACTCCAAACTAAATTGGGGTTATCACCTTGAATACTGTTCCAGCAGGGCCAGAAAGATTTTCTGGTCTTGCAGAAATGCTATTGGTAGAACTTGAGGATTATCCCCCAAAATAGTTTACTGGATATACTCAATGGTTATTAGTCCTCTCATCACTTCTGGCGCAATCGTCTGGTGGTCCAGGACTAGATTGACATCCGCAAGGTCTAATCTTAATAGACTACAAAGAATGGTCTGTGTAGCCTTGCCAGGCTGTCTTAGGACCACTCCTACAGCTGCTCTAGAGAGCTTACTTGGGCTTCTTCCATTGAAGTTGAAGCTCAGACAGGCATAAAGTGTCTTATGCACCTTGGCCTATGGAAAGAGTATTCCGAACACTTGTCATGGGGACATCTTGTCTCACAAGTGGTGGATATACCCTCTTTTATCATGCCTAGTGACTATATGTAACTAAAATATGCTTTTCACAAGCCCTTTAAGATCCATTTTCCTACTAGAGAAGAATGGTTTAATTCTCCTCGGTGGCTTAAAGACAAATGTCTAATATGGTACACTGATGGTTCAAAGATTGGTGCTAAATCAGGAGCAGGAATCTATTGCTCCAATGATGGTATCAAACTTCACTTTCCCCTGGGATCTTGTGGAACTGTAAGACATTCCTGTAAGGTGTCTGCTGAATTTCAGCTACAGGGCTTTCATGCTAATCACGGGGTTCGGGTACAATAGACCTCAGGTCGACGTGTTCTGCTCGTCAGAGCTGCCCAATCTTTAAATCTTAATCTTAAAAACTGTAGATAAAACTTACAGAAACTAAAACTTTGTGTCAGGGATTAAACATTATTTAAAAACTTTTAAGTTACTGGAAGTCAAATAAACTTGCTGTGTAATAAACATATTTATATCTCTTTAGCTTATGTTAATTTAAATACAATATATAATTTATTCAATATAGAATTATATTCAAAATAAAATATTATTCAATATATAATTATATTCAATATAAAATATTATTCAATATAAAATTTATGTATATAATTAATTGAAAATTACTTTGTCAATTCATTGATTATTTGTAATAATTATATACTAATTCAGCCCTTTTTGTTTAAAATATTTGACACTTTGTTTATAATATTAGGCAATGAACACGAATTACCTACCAATGAGAAATATCAGACCATTATAGTAACTAATTTAAGAAAAAACTTCAATTAAGATTCATGATACAGGATTGTAATAACAATGTGAAAATACAAATTGCACAGCTGGATCTTTAAATCAAATAAATATCGCGATGCGTGAATACAAATTGCAATGTGTAGCTTTTAAATCGCATGTAAATATGAAAATCGAAGTTTTAAACTCGCGTGAAAACGGATGTCGATACTGATTTTAAAAACACACAAGTCAAAATGTGTGACTTTCAACTTCGCACATCAATGCTTGATATTAAAATCGTGTGAATATAAACTGCAAAATTAGCAGATTTTGGTGTAATTTCAAATATTAAAATCGACAATTAAAGAATCAAATTGGTGGAAGAATAACATTTATGAAAACGTCTAACGCGATTCAACGAAAGGTTCAAATTGCGAAAATTGGTGGAACTTTTGTCGGATTATAAGTTTTGATTTGTGGAATCAAAGGTCTTGAGATCAGAGGAATTACATTTGTGGAAAAATCACACGACCTGCTCCTAGTTTTTAGACCTGGAAGAATGATACAAAATACCCTAAATTCCGGGGTACATCCGGAATACAATCACCTTGATAATAGTAATGTTTTTAAATAATATAAATCATTATTAAAACATTTAATCAAAATTTTGATTGGTAAATACAACAATTAAAAAACAAAGTATATGATTTAAATAAAAAAATCACAAACTAAATAAATAAAAAAATCAATTTTTATAATTTCAAAAATTTTTGTCAACTTTGCCAGTTAGAGATATGCTGAAACTCAAAAAATTAGGACAGACAAAATAATATAACATAGCATAATTTTTTTATGGAGCTTTTCATCTAATTTTGCATTTTGAAAATTTCCACAAACTGTTATTATGACTGTATTAGATGAAAATAATTACAAGGGATATGAAAAATACATAAAATGTATTTTAACTGAAATAAACAGAAACCTGTAATAAAAATAGATTGAGAGCTTCATCTGGAAATAGTGAATATATGATTAAAGGTTGCTGAATCAAACAATAAATAAATTTTAATTTAAATAATTGACTATTTAATTAAAACTTTGAAAAATATGGAAGAATAAAGCTTTCAAGTATACAGTGCCACAATAATAAAACTATATTTTCATAAACAGGCATTTTAAAAAAAAATTTGATTCCAGCATTTTATATACAGGGTATCTGTTACATTTTAGATTTTCGAAATCATGACATTTCATGACTAATTCTAAGAATTTTTACTGACTTACCAAAGTTACTATTTTCTCCACAAAAACATAACAATAAATTTAAAAAAGCATTACAATAACATTACTTGAAATGATAAGAATAACCAAAACTGTTATACTCTGCATCTTCATATTTATTGATTTTAAACTTAAAAAACAGAGTAGTTGAAATGATAAAACAGCTGGGGGAAAAAATACGAAAGCAAATAACTAAATACTGTCAGATAGATGTAGTTATTTAAAGCTGTTTTTTTCTTTTTTATAGCAAGTGTAATATAAGAAGGCTAAACTAGAATTTTAAAAGATAATTCACTCAAGAAATGATGTTTTTTTCTTCTCATTTTTTAAAAGAACACTATAATTTTTAAAGAACAGGATAAAAAACCTTTTATATTTTAAAAGAATATGACTATGTGGGGATTTTGCTACAAATTTAGATTTGGAACATCAGAACACTGGAAAATTGGGGAGGGGGGGGGATAAATTCCATTATAATAATTAGATTTTTCGGAATAATGACTTTCATGACAAATTTTGTTCAATAGCAAAATCCATGATTTTCTAAGTGTGCAGATATACCCTGTATATAAAAAAATAGAATTAAAAAAAGTTCAAAGGGAAAAATTACCCTAAAACACCACCAAGAACAGTAGCAGCCAACATGCCTTTTGCACCAAATTTCCATCGAGAAATTCCACCTAAAAGAGCTATAATAAATGCAAAAATAAATAAATAAAATATTTCTTAAAAATAATGAATATTAACATTAAAAAGTACCTTTTTTGTTTATAAAATAATTAATTAATAAGGAAATACTTATTTGATTGAATATAAGTTTGGTTTAATATCAGAACTATTTAAGGAGACAAAATTGCCCTCCTCCAACAAAATCTACTTATTAGAATAAGTAGATTTTGTATTATATGCTTATTAGAATAGTAGATTTTATTAGAATAAGTAGATTAGTAGATTTTGTAAGATAAGTAGACTTTTCATGATTTAGATGTATGCACATTTTGCAAGATAGGTTGCATTTATTTTATTAGCATTTCAAATGTATAGATCGCCAAAGATAAAAGGGAGAAGTGTCAAATTAGAAGTGAAATTAAATAAAATTTGAACAACAAAATCATAAGTAACATCATACAGGATCCCAAACGTCTAACAAAAGTAAAAAAAATGAAAAGTGAAAAAAATTGAGCACATGGAACCCCATTTGTAAATTACACAGCTTATTATTATAAAAAGTTATTTATTGGTACATTTGACAAATATGCATTTATTAACTACACATATTATATTGGAAAGGCAAAATTTCTCCAGGTAGGCAAATTTTTGGATTTTTTTCCTTTCGAAAATTGAAGTAGGGGTTTGTCTAGGTTTTTTTTAAGAGGTACCAATTTTGAGAAAATTTATAGACATAATTTATGAAAATCAAAAATTATATTAAAAAATCAACAGAGAAAAATGGTAAAATAAGAAAACATTTTCAAAAATTGTCTCTACAAATAAAAATCATATATTTATTAATCATATTATGACTTGCAAATTTCTTTATATTTTTCCTCATATATTCAAAAACAATTTTGCTACTGTAAAATTTTGGGCTTAAAATTGTATCCAAATTTAAAAAACCATAAAACTCATCGTCCATAGTCAAATTTCAACTTGAATTTAATAAAAACATACATTTAATAAATAAATAATAGTACTAGCACTAAAAGTAATCTTCATTACGAGAACATTTTCGACTGGGTCATACAGAAAAGTTTCACAACGAAAAAAATGCTTGATAAAAAAAATAAAGGTCTATTCAAATAAAATTAGAATTATGTATAAAATAATAGTTCAAATTTCAACATCCTGTCAACATTAAGAGAGACAGCATTTAAAAAAACTCTGAGAAAAAAAAAAGCTAGCTATAACAACATGGCGCAAGTGACCGTTTAGGCTTACTACACTGCAGTATTTGACCAGACACATGCTAAGTATTCGTAGTGCTCTTTTTCCTCCCAAAACCTATCATAATAGCAATCCGCGGGACAATTCCATTGCAAATTAAAATGCGTAATTAACCCAGGGTTTATCATTTTTAAGGGAATACAACAAGAAATTTTAAGATGTGGGGGGGAGGGAATCTTAGAAGATGCTTTTTTAAACTACAGTTTTTCCTTAAGTTGGATTTGTGAGGGTATCACTAAAGGGTAGTAAATTTGCCCGACCAATGTTTCTGCACACTTATAAAATAATTTTTAATGAGGTTATAAAATCTTTCTCAATGAGCCTGAAATTAAAAACTGCATGATACTTACCACCTGTACCCATATGCTCCCAGATGGAAATTTTATTTCTATAATTTTCAACTGTCATTGTGGTTAATCTAAAAATGAAAAACAAACATTTACTACCACAAACACAAAATTACACATATTCTAAAGAGTTTTTTAAAGCAAAGGAAAACTATACATCTAAGGATTCATGATGCGATAAAATGTTTACATAAACTTTTTCACGCACAAAGATAATATTATTAATTAATTTTCAATCAATTAATAATTTTAATATTATTAAAACTTTAATTTTCAACTATTTGCATGCCTGCCAACATTGAAGAAATAAAATAATGGAGATTTTACTAGGGACATTTTTTAGTTTTACATCATGCATAATTATGTAAGTCAAAAAGAGAAATTCAAAATAATATAAGCACTTACATTTAGCGAGGTAAAAAAGATGAATATAAATCTCACTCAAAAAAAAGATTTTTTAAACTATTATTTTTAATTACTTAAACTACTTTATTTTATAACAGTCGCTGAACAACCAACCCAATTTTTGGGGTTTATCACTACCAATGTTCAACTTTGTAGCCTTGTAATTTTGAACCCAATTCAGAAGACAAGGGTACTTCTGGATCAAGTATTGGGAGAAGTTTGTCTTTGTGGAGGGCTTTTTGATGGAACTAACCCGCATTTGCGCCACAGAGGAAAACCACGAAAAACTCCCACAGTTAGCTTGATGGCAAGGGGACTCTAACCTATGATCACTTTACCACTGAGGATATTTTTACTTAATCTATTAACACTCAACATACTACATTCTTACTCCGTGCTGCAGCCCCTGGATGGGTTTTCGCCCTAACGCCGGTGTAATGACCGCAGGACTCAACATACTACAGTACTGGAAATAGTACTTACTATCTATTGAGGAATAAGAAAGGTATTTCTGCAGCAGTGGTATATACTTTTTTTGCAGTATTTTATCAGCGGATATTTTATAGTCAATTTTTTTTTTAAAAATTTCTTCAACAACTACAAAGAAATTTGAGTATAAACGGATAAACAAGAGATAATCGTAAAATACAGGAGTCTTCATTAAAAAAACAGGAGACTTGGCAGGTATGTATTTGTAAAATAAACAACCACAGATTTTGAATTAAATGACAATAAAGCTAGCCATAAATGATTTCTGTGAAAACATTAACATCATAATAAAAAATAGTGTGTCTTTAAGCAACATCATAATCAAATGAATATAATATGTTTTTTAAACAGGGTGCGTAGTCAAATACTTCCAAAAAAAATTAGCAGCTTTTAAGTACTTTAACTTTCTAAGCACTATATACATTAACAGAATGCAAAATAGTTTTAAAACAATTTACACGATCATAATAAAATAACCAGTTTCGGACAAAGAACTCTTTTTTTAAAATTCTATTAGCCCTTATGTCTGACATTGAGAATATCTTGCGAAACGCAGCAGAGTTGTACATGAGAGTACAAGAATCTCACTGAACCCAGCTCGGTATACATACATGCAGGCTCGTATGTATTTTATCTAACACGTAAAATAATTGGCGCTTTCATACGCTACGGACAAACTGTGTTTGAATCAGGGTTGGGTTCTTGACGTCAAAAAGTGGTTTTTGACATGACAAGGGTATAATACTGGTTTAAACCGTCAAAAACTGAAGTTTGCCAAGAAAATATATAAACTTCAAAACTACCAACAGTTGCCATGCATTATATTGAAATTTAATTATACTATAGGTAATCAGCAGGTTTTAAAATATTTTTTAATTAAAATTAAGGTAAAATAACAGATTTAAAATCTCAGAAATTTATATTCAAATGCATGTGCAGAAAAATTTTGCACAAAAATTGTTTAAATATTTATATTTAAAAAAATTTTTTTTTTCTTTTTGATACTTAAGAAAATTAAAAGTTTATTACTATGCATTTTTGACATATAAGGAACATATAACTAATATTTATAAGGAACTTACAAGTTATGTTGTATAAATACAAACTTGATACAAGATACAAGTGTATAAAAAATTTTTTTTAATGTTATACCGAATATCTTTATTATCCAGTATGTTAATTTGAATTTAAAAGTAGTTATATTTATGAATAATGATAAATATAATTCATATTCTTTATTATATTTATTTATAATTATTACACTTATCAATTTAAAACAATTTTTATCTCTTAATTTTTTTCTCTCCACTTGTATTAAGAATACAAATAATGTATATGTTGAAAGCAAGAAGCAATTATTCAACAGCTGAATATTTAGATATTTAACAAAACTATATAGTATTCAGCAAATTCCCTGATTGTGAATGTTGCATGTGCCCAACCTGTTTAAAAGATTTTTCTTTAAAAGATGTCTAATGTACAAAACTGCTAATGTTTATCTTTAAAAATGTCTAATTTTTAGTATAATCTATACTATACACTAAATTTGGTTATAAATAAATTTCTTAATAATATCACTGCAGATTTTCAATAACACATGAAAATGAATACATAATATTACAAAAGATGTGAGTTTTCAAAAGTACAAGATTTTAGTTACTATTCAAAATATAAGTGCTTCTTCAAAATTTTAAATTTATTTTTTCTAAAACATATTTAGAAACACTATCCTTTATAAAAAATATACAAGTTTTATGTATTAATTAACTTTCACATATGAATATAGGTTTTTGACAGTGAGGTTTTTGACGTGACGGATGATTTAAACCGTCAAAAACTGCCACATGTCAAAAACCTGCCAACCCTGGTTTGAATGAATTGTGAAAATGTTGAAACAATGTGATAACCAGGCTTTTGCATTATATGCGGCAAAAATAGACATGGTAAAGAAAAGAAAAAAAATCTCATTTTTGAAAAGGGAAAATTAAGCACTTTTATTGTTGACGTATGCCTGTTTAGGAAGAGCGGGTGCGATTGTTCTTGTTTTCCAGTGGCGCTATCTATGGCCAAGAATTTGACTTCTGCCACACCATACGTCGCACCCGTTTATAGGGCGGACCCATTCATACATCCACAGATCGTAATTTTGACCTGAATCAGAAAACGATCGATCTTCGATCCAGTACCCCCAGAGGTATTGATGTGTAATGGGAACATGGAGGACTTTTGCGTCTCGAGAGATTTAACGTGCACCAGTCACTCTACTACACGGGGAGTCTTTGGCCGGCGGGGTTCGAACCTACGAACTATCGGACGTGGGCACAGCGCCCTACCAAACAGGCTATCCCGGCCTTTTTAAAAACACCCAATAAAAAAGCACCTTTAAGGGCTTTTGAAATACAAAGCTGGAAAATAAACACTTTTTAAAAATGCTACACAGCATGTTAAAAAATAGGGTATGCAAAGATTATTACTTACAAATAGACAGAGCTAAACATCCCATATTGCATAGCATATTTATAAGCACCTTTTGCTCCAGCTAGAGACATAGTATCAACAAGAGCTCTCTGCCAAAGAATGTGAAAAATAATAAAAGATATTATGAAATGATATTTAATATAGAGATTTTGCATGTTCATCTTATAAACATGAATAAGCTTTATGCAGCCTAAATACTACAATGTAGGCCATTCTATGACCATTATTAAAAAATCTATACATCCCAATATTGGTACCTCGGTGCACGTTCTTATATTGATCCATATTGAACCAATTTTGAACCCAACTGGGGCCAAGATAAAATTGTTGCTAGGGTGTATTTGATATTTTGTACTTAGCACTTAAGCACATCTAGAACTTCAAATCAGGGTTTGCTGATTTAAATCAGCTTGATTTAAATCATGATTCAAATGATTTTTTTAAAAAAATAACTGATTTAAATCAACTGATTTTTTTTCATATATATTGATTTTAAAAGTTAAAAAGTAGTGTTTTAAATTATCGATACTTTTATTATTTTCTTTTCTTAGTTTAATTTATTTTAAATAAATTGCTGCATTAATTAATTTTAGTTAACGAAATTGCTTTTTTTCTTGGTATGTGTTAAATTCCAACACATTTGAAATTACATTTTTAAAAATCTATTGATTCTTGAGATTGAAAGTACAGATTAAAGTAAACATTTAATGCCGTCTTAACATAGACTTGCATAGCTGTAGAACGTAATTAATAAACATGAATTTTTTTCAAAAAAAAAGAATACAAACAATGTTAATTAAACTTCTACCGTTTGATTGAAAAAGCATGGAATTAAAATCTACATTATATTTTATTGATGCAGGATTAAAAATGAATATTTTAATACAAAAATATATACTAGATTAAATATTTATTTATTTTTTGATGAATGACTACATTTATGAACACAATCTGTTAAATTTTTTTTTGTCATTTTAAAAATCAAGAGGAAAAAAAAGAAACCACAATTTTAAATTAAAATTATGGTTTGCTAATTGAAACTTTGCTTTAATAGTTAAAGTATAGGGGTCTTTCCAAGCCAAACTTACTACCGTTTAGCGGAACCTTCACAAATTCAACTTCAGGAAAAACTGTAGAATAATTTTACAAAATACTTTTTCTTAAAAGTTTATTTTTGTGTCTCGTACGAAACGATAAATCCATATTTTTACAATATTTTTGTGTTGATTTTTTAATATAATTTTTAATTTTCATAAATTATGTCTAAATTTTCACTATGTCTCTCAGAAAAATCTAAACAAACCCCTGAAGTATTCTTTAAATTCTCTATTTCATCTAGTCTTTAAATTTCAATCATGCATTTGTTCCAAAATGGTTGCCATGTATTCAAAGCTATGTATTATAACGAAAAATTATTTTAGTAAGTTAGAGCTCCTAAAATATTGTTATAATATAGTTTTAATGTTAATTTAATTTTGATTAAACATTTATAAAGTTCTTTTTAATCATAAATTAAAGTTCTTACAGTGTATTTGAATTTAAAAAAAAATCTGATTAAAATAAAAAAAAATCAGATTTAAATAAAAAAAATCTGATTTTTTTGATTTTTTTTAAAAAAAATCACAAACCTGGCTTCAAATAAATATATCACGAAATAAAGTATTTAGTATCAATTAAATTTTCAAATAATAAGTTTAGTGAAGAAAAAAAAATTCTCTTCCAATTTGGTATCTTATCCTAATTTGGCAGAATCAAATACATTTGTATCATTTATCAATTGTGAATTAATCCAGTAATAATTAATTATAATATATTAGTTAACTTTAAAATAAATTAGTTATTTTAATTATGTTATGCAAATTAAAAATTATGAGAAACGGACTACTTTTAAATTTCTTCTTGCCATACAACTTTGATCTTAAATTAAAAAAAATCAATCTTTAAAATTTTAAAATCAAATCATATTGTCTTACATAAGTTTTAGCAGAACTTCTTTAATGATTTAAAAAAAATAATTAAATAATTAACACTTACATGAATTACGGTATTTGACATTTATAAAAAAAGTAAATGAATATTTTCTTAACTTACCAAAAAAAGGGACAAGATGGTGCGAAAAGTATTTTTTGTATCGTGAACCAGAGGTCTGTCCAGGCCGAATTAAATACCGTTTAGCGGTACCTTCACAAATTCAACTTTAGGAAAAACGGTAGTTTCACAAATTCAATTTTAGGAAAAACGGTAGTTTCACAAAATACTTTTTCTTAAAATTTCATTTTTGTATCCCTTAAGAAACGATAAATCCATATTTTTGTGTTGATTTTTTAATATAATTAATTTTCACAAATTACGTCTAAATTTTCACAAAATAGGTACCTGTCAGAAAAACCTAGACAGACTCCTGTGAACAGAAACTCTTTATATATAACAAACTCTTACAACAAACTTCTATTTTAAGTTTTCTGATATTTTAACACAATATTACAACTCATATAATTTAATTCTGTTGCAATTTTTTATTTATCCTTTAGAAAATATTTAAGACATGTAAAACTTTACTATAAATGTTTTGAAATGAAATATATTCCATACTAGATGTTAAATCTTATTCTGCACTGTAAGGGTTCTGTATTAATTAAGCATTTTAAACCCTATAAACTTCTTTAAATTATGGTAATTAGCTTGCAATTATTTTACTGTACTCAGTAGAATTTTTTTTTAAAAATTTAATTCTATAAACATTTAAGTTTTTGTTAGAATTTATGTAACAACAGACCTTTGTATTAGAAAATGAAATAAAAGAAAACCAGACCATTTCCCATTATTTTTATTTACTTTAATTTATCTGGGTTTTTTATAATGAAATGTTTTTTTTTTTTTTTTTTTTTTTTTAAAGTAATCATTTTTCCTGTCTTTGTTTTTAATCATTAAAATTTATTTAATTTATATGTTAACATATTACTCATTTAATTAATAAAAAGAATTTAGTACCCAGAACGAGGATGTTTCTATAACAATTACTACCTAAAATTGCTGTCAACACGTCTGTCTAAATAAATAGGCATGTAGCCGTTCAGTGGTCAAATCTCTTGCGCACCTTCACTCAAGAAGGTTGTGGCATCCCTAATTTAGCTTATCTAAAAATTTCTAAAAAGGCATGTTTTTTTCTTAAACTTTTTATTAATTTTGAATATGGTGTGGGAACGATTAATATTAACCAATTTTATAACTTTTATTGCATTTTTATTCTTATTGCAATAGCTTTTCTGCACTAAAGTATTTTGAAATTCTAAAATTCATTTTTTCGACCTATCTAATACACAGACTTGCAAACTTACCCTGGCAAAATGTTGGCTTTCAAAAGTTGATGCTACATTTCGACGCATAAAGTCTTCCTTGGCTTGTTTCATACTAGACATGCCACCATATATGCCTGCAAGAGCAAGGCAAAATGTTCCACTCTTTATTACATATCTTAATTCAGGACTCAAGAAGCCAATGTCACTAAAATAATGATAATAATAGTGATCACTAATCACATAAAATAAAAATGATTGACAAAATTATTATTTAATTTTTTAAGTGTTAAAATAGAAGTAGTAAATGAAAATATGTCACCCGATTTACAGTTTGTAGGCATAGGCCTAGTGTTATCGACAATGTCAACCTTCAGCTATGAAAGGGTAACCCGACATGGAATCAAGTTAACATGTCTTATTATATACTAGTGAATTGAAATTGTATTTTTGTAGTGGTAGATACACTACACAGTTGATTCTTACTTCATGATAAAGTTGGTCATGTTTACATCATAAGTCCCATTTAATTTTTTAAAAAAAATGCCTAACTAATCCTAGTTTCCCCAGAAATAAGATTTTAGTTATTGGTAGACTGCACATTTTTATTAAAAAAAAGTTTATTACTTAATCAAATAATATATTTTGCTCGAAAAATATAACTAAATAAAGATTTAAATTCACCACAACTGTAGTACAAAAATAAAATATAATAACGAAGACTAATTTGAAACTAGAGAGACTTGTATTATTAATTAATCATGTCATTTTAAGAGAAATTTGGGTCCTCTAACGATACCATTAATTAATAATCGACAATTATTACTGGCAGGAAGATTAAGAAAAAAATTTGCAGGCACTGATCAATAGTCACCAAAACTCGAGGGAATGATTGGTGAACTTACTGATGCAGAAATTTTTCATGAAACTTACAGAACATTATTAAACTTTAGAAAATTGAGTTCTACACAAAATATTTTATCATTAAAACAGATCTTTAACAAAATATTCCATTATCAAAATTTTCACATAAACTTTTTTCAAAATTTATATATATATATATATATATATATATAAAATTCTCTTATATATATATATATATAAAACTTGGTTTAAACCGTGGATTAATCCATTCTGCCATAAACATTGCCAAATCTGATTTAATGCATTAGAAAATATTAAAAATGTTTGTAATTGCCATGGTATAATAATTAAGGAAATAAATATCTTTAAAGGTTATTCGGCTCTTTTATAATTTTAAGAAATCTTCCAGATGATTCCTTATTGTTTGATTTGGGAAAAGGTGAGAAATTCTTCCCCCATTTCCTTTCTGTGATGAAAACTTTACAATGCATTAAGTTTTTGAATTCGATAAAGAAAGTTAACTCACTTAATTCAATTAATACTTAGTTTGCAAGAATTAAATAATGATATTAACCTCTTTATCATAACAGGTATTAAGAATCTCAATTGCAGTATAATGTTAAATAATATTGAGTATTATTTACACATTTTATCAAGAGTTTTCGCCATTAAACACAAAAATATAAAATTTGATTAAAACAAAATAATAAAAATCTGATTGAAATGAAAAAAACCAATGTTTGAGATATAGTTTTTAAACAAAACATGATTTATATCAACCCTGATAAAATAACTTAATGTTTCGATCAGGGTTGCTAAAACCCTCAGCATACCCCTAAGCAAGCAGTTCGAAGAAGTAACTGAGTCCTGCCCATGGCAGAATTGCAGCGACATTATCACAGAATGTTTCAGTTTTGGCAGAAAGATTTTACACTTGGGAAGTGAAATGTTTTTTTTCTTCCTTTCTGCATAATTTGTTGAATTTTTTTTTCTTCTTTTTCTGCAGAATTCTTTTTCAAAGAAGTCTTTCTTGCTCATCTAAGAGGAAAGAAATAATCATTCTTTCCTCTTAGTTTCTCAATGTTTTCTTTATTCTCATTTGAGATTTCTTTAGAGGAACAAAAAATAATAAATAACTGGTTTCAGCTAGATTTTTTAATTAATAATATAAAATAAAGTCATGAAAGTCTAAAAGATTAGTTTGGTCTAGAAATGATATCTTTCATTCAGTTTTTTTTTCTTTAAAGAACACCCTATTTCACATACACTTTTTTGAGTATCTCTTTTTTAGAGTCTTATTTGAATGATCTTTATTTTGGAAATTTTGCAAGGATTTTAAGATTTTTAATTTATGTACGAATTTTTGTCCATTTATCGTTTAATTTATTTATGAATTTTAATATGTTTAATGATTTACAAAATTCGAAATTGCACTTTTTTCCGCCTACAAAATGAGAGAAAATCGCCTACAAAAATATTACTTTTACAATTTAAAATTTTCATTCTGTAATTTCTTCTGTAAACACAACGCTTTAATTATCTTAAATTAGTAACTGTTTTAATTAAAAGTGGGAAGTTCGTCGCAGAAAGCCGGAAAAAATTCTGCAGCAGGGTAACTCTGCGATCTGCACGGTTCGAATCTCTGTGTTCAATACAGCTGGTCCATACGAATTTTGATCAAATAGGACCTTTTCTAACTAACGGCACAATAATATTAGAATAGCATGATAATAAAATATTATATATTTTGTGACAATAGAAAGGGGTTCATAAAAATTAAATGTTTGCATAATAATATCCAATAAGGAAAGCGAAACATAATACTTGCCTTTTTGAAAACATTCTTTTCACTCTCTCTTTTCCTGTTTCGTTGGACAACACATATTTGACTCCACTTTGTTCGATATATGTTGATTTCCCATCGGAACATTCTACAAATTTAATAAGAACCATGCTATAATGGATCCGGATGTTGATATGGAATATAGAAATCGTACGCTTCTGTGTAACTATTTTTTCATCATCATTCTTGCTCCACTTGTAACTAAAGGAGCATTCTCACTGAAAGTGGCTGCCACACCTCCGATCACCGTTCAGAAAACCGTATATATATATATATATANACCAAAAGAAACTATTTTTTAGACAAGCTATTGAACAAACAATGTGGAACAGTTACAAATTAGGAATTAGGGGGCGTGGTCTAACATTGCTAAGTCATAGGAAATTACGTAAAAAGCTTGAAATTAGTCGAACAGCGAAGTTTGACCAGTATGGTTAAGTAATAGGAAGCGAGCCGTGATGGCTCAGGGGATAGAGAGTTCTCCTTAAAATAAGGTGACCAGGTTCGAATCGCAGTGATGGCTGGTCGATACGAATTCTGCATCCGGCTTGCACCGACCACAGAAATGACATAAAATATCCTTAGTGTTAGACGGATCATGGCCTCGAGTCCACTTGCTGTCAGGCTAACCGTGGGAGGTTCTCGGGATCTTCCTCTCCATACAAGGAAAATGCGGGTTAGTTCGATTAAAAAGTAAGGTAAATATCTCCCGATACTTGTTCCAGGAGTTTCCTCGTCTTCTGGAATGGGTTCAAAATTGCCAGGCTGTGTAGTTGAATATTAGTAGTCGTAAGCAAAAAATTAAACTATATAAGCATTAAAATGAGAAAATTCGAACTCAATATTCTGTATTACAACATGGCCTCATATTACCCCTTAAAAGTGAACCATAATATTCAAATTAAACCAAGTATTATATTACCGGGTATTAGTGTACCCTACTTAAGGATATAATTATAAGAATAATAGGGGGAACACAATGCGCTCTTACAGGTCACTGTGCATGTATATACATAAGAGTGTGTGAAATAGCGTTAATGAGGTAATTCGAAGTCAATATTCTGTTTTACAACATGGCCCTATATTTCCCCTTAAAATTAACCCATAATATTGAAATTAGGCCAGGTATTATATTACTAAGTACTTATGTACCCTGCAAATGAAATAAATTATAGGCTTAATAGGGGACCCACAATGTGGCCCTATAGGTTACTATGTAAGTATATACATAATAGCATCAAACAAAGGAAATTCGATGTCAATATTCTGTGTAAAAACCATAACAATATATCTTTTCCTAATATTGACCCATAATATTCAAATTGCACCACGTATTATATTAACGGGTACTAGTGTATTCCCTTATGAAAATTTAAGGTATATTTAAGGTTGATTTGAGGTATTTTTGAGGTATTAAGGTTGTTTTGAGGTATATTTGAGATATATTTAAGGTTGCAGAGAAAACAGCAATAAAAATTATACCTTGTAAAGGTTGTAATTAAGGTGTACGAGGTTGATTTATATATACTTCAGCTTGTTTTGAGGTCGTTGTTTAAAATTCACTTCAAATCATCCAGACTGATAAGGAGATTTTTAAGGTATACCAGGTTTATTTTCTTACACTTGTAACAAAAGAGGTATTTTTGAGGCATAAAAATTTTTTACCTTATTTCAGCTAACGATAAAAAGGTATTTATTGAGGTATATGAAGTAATTTTATTTATACCTAAGCTTATTTTGAGGTTGTTTTAAATTCTCTTCAAATCATCCAGACTGATAAGATGATTTTTAAGGTATACAAGGTTGTTTTTCTTACACTTGTAACAAAAGAGACATTTATGAGGTATAAAAAAAATCAACCTTATTTCAACTAACGATATTGAGGTATTTATGAGGTATAAAAAAATATACCTTATTTCAACTAAAGAGAGTGAGGTATTTATTGAGATGTATGAAGCCATTTTATTTATACCTAAGCTTTTTTTAAGGTTGCTTAAAGTACACTTAATATTAACTAGCTCACTTCCCAGAGTACACTTCATATTAACTAGCTCACTTCCCATGCGAGCCGGCAAATGGCATGTGTGTTGACAATCGAAAGTCTATTCAAAATTCGGTAAGTGTGCTTGACATTTATTAATTTGGTTTTATCACTTTTAATCAAATATGCTTCAATTTTCAAACTTAAATTTTATTATTTTTGTTTTAAAGATGCCTCCTGATCTTAAATAGTTTAAGTTGGAGGATATTCTTAGAAGCTATTAGTGTAGGCTTAGCAATAAGAGGGTAACGTTACTGGTGAATCGTTACAGCAGGTTATGCACAGAATATTTTATTGTTTTTAATTTTTTCAAATATCTTTTCTTAATATATTCTTTTATTTTGCTTAAATGTATATATTTCAACGTTGCAGTATGCAAGCTGATTAGTTGAGTAAAATGTTCATAATTTCTCTTATAAATAAATCATTGAAATATCTTTAAAATAGCAATTTTGCTTTGAAATTCTAAGATAGCTGCATGCTTATCGTTTGCTCGGATATCTGTCGCAAAGTTTATATTGTTGTTTATGAGTCAAAAAAATATGTATAATAACACAGCATTTTAAATCTGACTTTTTATTTTTTAAATCTGCAACGTTCTGTTTCTTTTTCTTACATTTTTGTATCTATATATATTTACAGAGCTTATCCACTGTTCCCTGATATTGCTGAGATGACCTAGGCTGTAAATAGCACATGTGCAGCAGCGATGAAGAAGTGACTTGCAAGTTACTGCTCAGCCTTCCCCTAGGAAATAGTCCTGAATTCATACCACAAAGAAAAAGTAATCTCTCCTAATAAACTACAACATTTACTTAATTGTTGATAACAATTGTTAGTTAGATATTTAATAATTGGAAACTAGTAAATGTACTAGCTCACTTTTTTATGTTTGATCACACTGCTATTTTCACTACGTGTTATTTTTTCTCAATTTACCCACATTAATTATTTACTCAGCAGATTGTTATTACTCATTAAAATATTGAATAGAATTAAATTTAACCCGATTTCAAGTTTATATGACAATTTGTTTCAAGGTTATGACCATTTTTATGCAGCTGTTTATAGTTCACTACTTCAAAAATTAGCGACTTTCGGAAATCTTAAATGTTTTAGAAATGAGTCAGTATAGTATGCAATTTTAATCCTGAATTGAATAAAATCAATTGCAAATAAAAACATTTATCATTAAAAGTAATATGCAATTTTTTGAATTTCATCTTATGGGATGTGTTTTTATATTTAAACAAATGTTTGTAACAACTAGCTATTAGTTTTATTCTGCTTGGTATTATAAATTATATAGGAGATTTTGTACTCAACCTATTTTAAAAGTATTATTTCAAATCATTCTCTCTTAGACATTTTCCTCATATAAAATTTCTCACAACATTAAAATAAATGCTCCTTATCAACTTGTAATTTGCTCTATTCGATTGAGTGTAAAAAAAGAATAAAAATTGGTTTAATTTAATTTATTAGACGATTGTTGATTCTTGATTACATTTATTAAAAAATATTAAAATAACTATTTTTTAAGAAACTCTTATGTGATTGACAATAACGGAAGTCCTTTTCAGAATCAGCGTCTAAAATTTATAAAAAAGCTATTAGTTTCATAAAGTCTGACAAAAAGTTTAAAAATATATAGACTAGGTTTATTGAGTTTAAAGATTT